AGCTTTAGTTACTTTCCAATTACCTACAGAAGCTAAAGCTGCATACAGAAGTACTGAAGCTGTATTGAATAATAGATTTATAAAAGTCTTTTGGCATAATATTAATAACAATTCAGTTAGTGGAGCTATAGAAAACGTACCACCTGGTAATTTGAAGATTATATTTATGTATATTTAAACATATTATTGTTAGCGTCAAATTATTATTAAAGTATTACTATATTTTTCAAGGTTGCCGTCCTTCCGTAAAAGAAAGATTAGGCGCTGCTCTAAATATACCAGCAAAAACGGAGGAAAATGAATATGTACCGACACGTCGCGCTTCGGATGAACAAAATACGCAAAACGTAGTAGTCCCAACGTCGCCAAAAGCGGCAACAGCAGCAGCAGTAGCACCAGCAGCACCAGCAGCAGTTCCTACACGAGAAGAAAAAGTTTTAGCAATAAAAAAGACACAGGAGATATTGGCAGCTAAAGAAACATTAAAGAAAAAACAAGAAGAAAAACGTAAAGAAGCCATCAAAATAACTGCTGATTTAAGGAAAAGGAAACAAGAACTTCTAGACAAACATCTAGTAGAAATACGAGTATTAATAGATAAAGCAGAAAAAAATCCAGAACAAAAAGATGCAATAATGGCGACAATTAAAGCTATGCAACAATCTATTGATAATTTACGTAAAGATTTAGCTGCAAATGGACAAATTAGTGGAAATAAGTCACAAATAAAGTCGAAAGAGCAAACTCAAAAAGAGATTTTAGATGCCGAGTTAGATTTAATGACTGCTCAACAAGAAGGCCATGACGCAGGAGAATTGCAGAAGAGGTTAAATGAATTACGAGTGCAAGCTGCTGCATTAGGTTTACATACGAATCCAGGAGTAGGTAGAGGTGCGAGGCCAAGTAGAATTATACGAGGAACTCATGCAGTTTCATACAGGGGACGAGGAAGAGGAAGTTTTGCTCACGTTTCTGTAGATCATAGACCAACAAGTCTTCTAGTCTCAGGTTACGAAACGGAGGAAAAATCAGATGTTCTATCACATTTTCAAGTAAGTTCATTAATATAATATTATCAGTACAATAGATGTTTACTAATTATAACATTCTTATTGTCATATTTTTCTTTTTCTTTTTCTTTTTCTTTTTAGCAATTTGGAGAAATAGTGAATCAAATTATAGATGATACAACACCATCTATTGTAATCAATTATAAGTCCAGGAAAGAAGCTGAAGTTGCATTGTTAAAGGGCCGTACGTTTCAAGATAGATTATTATCAATAACCTGGGTATCCGGACATCACTTACATCGTGGTGGAAGTGGAAATAATTTGAATTCTTCTGTACAACTTTCAGTACATTCTGAGCAAGCACCACCTAATACTGAAGAAGAAATCGATTTAGAAGTATGTATATATAATTTTATATTTTTACAATGGTTAAGATAAATTTATTCATTATTTTAATAGTGAAAGTTTATTATAATCATTTTTCGACTTGCAATTTTTTATAAATATAATCGATTGAGATGATATTAATCTCTTAGTTGTGGAGGTCGTTTTTAAAAGTTTTTATGAGTATACTTGTCAAGTACAGTTGTATAATTGCATTAAATTATAAAGAAATAGCACACTTGTTCTTTTTTTGTTTATTTTTTTTTTTTTTTTAAATTGTTATCAATTTATAAGCAACAAGCATAATAGAAAGAAAACAACCGATCCCTAATTTTTGTGTTTTGTCTATTAGGATTTTCGCGTTATTAATTAAGTGATAGTTATAAATTATTCATTTTTATTTTATATAAAATATAAATGTGCTCCACGTTGCACACGTTGCTGTGGCTCAGTCTGTGATTAGATAGAAAAGAAAAAAAAATAGAAAGCATAAGTTTCTCAATTGTTACACCCTCCTCCTTCGAAATGAATTCGATTTTCATCCTTCTGGCTCTGTCTGGGAACCTCAATCTTGCCCCTTTTCCTCTTTAGAAGACGACACAAAATAATTCAACTCAATTTCAACACAATTTCAACAAAATGTAGCACAAGATTAAATATTAGAAATATTCAATTAAATGATATTAAAAATTGAACATAAATATTGAAAAATCAGACTTAGTCTTAATACACTCATCGTTAAATTGTACTGAATCAAGAAGAAAATCACTTTCGTTATCTTCTTCGTTGTCCTTATATACTTATCACCCCCTCCCCCTCCCCTCCCCCCCCCGCTCCACTATTGTTTTTCGCTACTTTCTGCATTCTTTCTCGAGATCATTTCCGATAAATTAAAGACTAGATCTCTGCTATACTTCCGGATCGCGAATGTCGAGAGACTTCGATGCATTCCATTCATGCGTACACAAAGTGACAATATCAAGTAGTGTCATCTTGTAAGATTTTTATTTGTAAATAAAACACGCTCGCTTTCTTTTCAGTCGAAACACTCTTACGTACCACACTGACACTCATATTGCCGCACGCACTAAATAAGAGTATTTTTCTGATGTTATGAATTTTTATGAATTAATGTCAGTGTTTGTATTCACAGGGAACAGCAGAAACATTATTTCTGGAAGAAAATGAAGAGGAAGAGGAGGAAGATGGAGAACCACGAAGCTGGCGGCGATAGCAGCATCAGCGTTATTTATGACAAAAGTGCGTTATTGGCTACAGTGGTAGTAGCATTTTTTGGGCATATCGATGTTTGCTCAGTTCTTTCACGACTGCTACATCGCCGCTTGATGTTTCAAATACAATGATTTTGTCAGAAAAGTCACGTTATGGGCTCATTAGCGTTATAATGAGCATTACAATACTTGTTAATACTATTAAATATACGTGTGCATTATAACGGTATATAAATACTGTGTCCAGTAATGCGTATCACGAATATAGGCCAGTATACAAGTTTCCACAACACGACTAACCAAATTTATCTCATTATTTCTAGAATAAAATCGCTATGTTTTGTATGGGAAACTCTTATTCTAACTTTAAGTCCTCATCTTTCATCTGTAGAATTGCGATTATTTCTCGTTATGATATTATAAGGTTTTATGATGATGTAGTACATAAATCCTAGAGTAAATAATAGTCATATATGTAGTTCTGAACATTTTGCTGTCAAAAGCGAGGAAATTATATTTATAATTTGTATAATACATATAGCTTATTCTAGATCTTCTTCATAAGAGATAGCGTATAACGCTTAATGTAGTGTAAATGATTTTTTACTTTCACTTAAATGTACTATTTAAAAATTGTTCCTGTAATCATGTACAGTATCATGTATAATTTTCATTGTTTTGTTTTACCTAATGTCAGTGAATTAAGTTGGTAACGCCAAAAAAAGATATTTAGTGCATAATTTACATAGATTGTTTCAATATATATTGCAAAAATAATATATCATTGTTACACATAAACCATTCAGTTTTATAAAAATAAAAAAAAGGTAAGTATTTTATTTATAAATATACAATTTGAACATGCACATGCACTAAAAATTTATGATGAAATCAAAATGTGTTCTAATACCAGTAGAGTCAGAAATAAATTATTTGATACATTTTAAAACTAATCTTGCGTGAATTTTTTCCCATTCGATAGAAGTAATTAGTAAAATACGTTGCATGTTCATTGTCATAATGAATAATCGCAGAAAAAAAAAAAAAAAAAGAAACAATATTCAAATTTAATTTTTGGGGTATATATTTATTGTGATTAAATCATTTTTTTTTTCTTCTAATTTAATATGTATATACATAATGAAAGTAATATATACGTTTTAATAATTGACTGTGGACTTATTGTTAGTTAAAAAATTTATTTTATGATTTATTTCATATTGCTATTATTTATATTAAAAATCATTAAATAAATTTTTAAAAGTTTTTCATTCAGTTTATTATGTCATAGTTACTGATTATATATATATATATATATATATAGGTTTATTTAAAAAGCATCGGTAACCGTGAATTTTCATTAAAAAATGATCTCGAGAAAAACATTTTCTCAACCATTAGTTTTCCTGTCTGTAATAATATTTAAAGTTTTTTAATAGGATTGTAAACAAAGAAAATATACATATGTGTATATATATATACACAGGGTGTTAGATGTTTTTCTGTACATACATAAGCTTATTCTATGCACAAAAATAAGGAAAATATGTAAAATAATAAATAAGGAAAAAATGATAAACATAGAACATTTAACTTTATTAAAAAAATTAAACCATAAATTGTAAAATTATTGAACCCTTTGAAAGTGTGAACCTGAAAGCTGCGCACCTGAAAGTGCGAACATTAAGCGCATCTTCAACATTGAGAGCCAAGACTTGGCTCAAAAACGATTTTGTAACATTACTTTTAAAGTAAAAAAGTAAAAAAATACCGCCTACAATTGTTTGCGAAGAGAATAAATTTAGTCGATAACATCTGGCTTGATTTTTCGTTTCATTTTAGTAAGAGATGCGTTTTTTTGGCGGGTGACTATAGTCATCCGTAGTAGCGAAAGGGTTAAATGTGACGTTAAGAATGATGTTTAATGGTCTGTATATGTTGTTTGACATCGTCTCATTAGACTTTTGTGTTTATGGAAAAAATTAAAACAAAAAGTTTATGTAATTGAGATAACTACACTTGATGTTATGATAAAACGAATTAGGGATGTATTTGCAGAAATTAAAATGCGTCATGTCATAAACAGCATATTACTAGTAGTGTCAAACTTGTATTTGCGTGGGAGGATAATATTTTGAACAGTACATTTATAAATAATTTTACAAATTATATTAGAACTTTTGAATGAAGCTTTAAATGACATATGTAAAATATGGATATAACGTTTGCACAGAAAAACATTTGAAAAACACCCCATATTGTATAAAAATATATATATATATATTTATCTTTTTTAATTTGCCCTCTCTTATTTTTTATATTGTATTTTTTCCTTTATAAAAAAAAATTGATTAGACATACTGTTATATATGAAAGTGCCACATATATATTAATAGTAAAAGTTATCTATGTGCTTAAAATAAGATGACTGATAAACACGCTGACTGATATTTGGTCTATGCTGCGCAATACGTATGTGCGCATGTCACTATGAAGGTTTCTCTATATACAAATTCTATGTCCTACGTTAATATGTACATGTATATATATATATATACATTGTATATATATACATGTATTAAATGATATATGTATTTGATTTCTACTAACTTAGAATTCTTTCCTTGAATAGATCAAGTTAAGTGCAACGACGCATCAGGACTTACGTTGAAATTATCAAAATACGTAAAAATGACGGAACAAAGTGACAGAAGTCAATTACCACCTGGTTGGGAATGTAGATACGATTCTCGAAGTGGCCGACCGTAAGTAAATTATAAATCAAACTACTGTAACTTAATTTTTTAAATATTTGTATCTGTATAAAAATGTCACTAGTACGATACAAAAATGATCATTATTATTATTATTTTTTTTTCATTCTATCGTTTATTAATACAACTAGAAATGTACATTTTCAAGAAATTATTGTTTTGCTTATTATATATGATTTTAATTTCATATTGACAATAATTATTAATAGATAACAATCTGTGTATAAATATATCAAAATAGATAGTTTATTAAATGTCAATGAATATTTTATTTCAGATATTTTATAGACCATTTTAATCGTACAACAACATGGGAAGATCCAAGGATTCGATATTGGCAATACTCTCAATATGTACAGACACAAAATTCCATAGCGTTGAGTTCTGCTACAACTATTACTTCTCAAGATATACCTATGCAGGTTAGTTATTTTCAATTTAAATCTAAAGATTAACAATTAAGCAATTGCATTTTAATAGTCACCCAAATTTGTACTTATTGATGAATTAATAAGAGTTCAAATTAGAACTAATAGCTATTGGGTTGTCCTGAAAGTTCGTGCCGATTTTGACAAAAGATTGAAATGCAACGCATTAAAATTTTTTTTTTTTTTATATATATTTATTAAATAATATATAAGTGCAATTATGTTCTACAATCTTTCTTCATCTTAAAGGGTAATTTCAACATTTTCTTCCTCAAGAACTTCTCAGGTTTTTCAGCAAAAAAAAAACATTATGCCACCTATCAAAAATCAGCACGAACTTTCCGAACAACCCAATATATAAATTGTTTAGAAATTAAACATAGAATAGATAATTGCACTGTTTATTTTGATATTTGATAAAACAGTTGCGATATAAAATTAAATAAAATTTCCTTTTATCATTTGCATATACTATTTATACTATTTCTTGTATTTCTATACGATTTATCAATTTATTTGAAAATTTATCTTATATTATTATTATCATCTGGTATAAAATTATATAATAACATAAGGACTTTTGACTCATTATATATTCAATATATAAAATTCGTATATTTTAATGATATGCACATGCTGCATTTGGATTAAATATCAAATATACTGCGTATATTCAAGACTGGAGGAATTGGAGGTGGTGGTCATTTAGTTTATACGGGAGCTCATAGAACTCCTCAAATTTATCCAACACCATCGCCTTTTCATAATCCTCAACTTGCATTTTTACCTCCCTGTTTACAGGTAGGTAACGTTGATTAAATCCGTGCAGATTGATTTATTTCAAATTAAATCAAATATTATATCTTACTATATTTATTAGGTGTAGCAATCATTTTGCTAATGTCTTTTAAACAAATTTAGTATTTATTTACACGTGTTATTTTTTCTTTAATAATCTCCATTATTTTTGATGATTTTGGTCCATCTTTCAGGCAACTATTGAATTTCTTGATGAAAAAAAATAAGCAATTTTGATGTATTAATAAATTTAATATCAAGGTCCCGAATTAATTGCTACACCTTATAATTTGGATAATTTTATATATAATCGATTGATATATATATATATATATATATGTTTTCATATAGGATTTAAAAACTCCAATGTCTATGAAATCAATGAGTGTCATGACAAATCGGTTTGGTGAAATCACTTTGGGATCACCGACACCAGTCAGAAATATGGAAACTACTTTAACACAAGATTCTGATTCTGAATTGCAAGTTGCTAAAATTAATGGAATGTTTCCTACGGTTTCTGATACTCACATACGACTGCTATTAAAAAAGTAAGTGTTTTTATTGGATATGTACATTTAATTTTGGTTAACAAATTTTAATTTTTTTGTGTATCATTTAAATTAACAATTATATTTACTGTTTTATTCATTTTCTTATCTCACATTTATATTTATTCTTAATAATTCATTATAATTCATTATAAAGATTATTTTGTAAATATTTTATTATTTTTCTTCATTATTTTTTTTCTATAGCACAATACTGAATTTAGTGCTAAGTTCCTAGCCAATGCTTTCAGATACCATAACAGAGCAGCTTTGGTTGTGAGCGCTCTCCAAGTGGAAAAGAATCCTCTTTGCGCTCCAGGACCGTGTACACCTATGGGAGTACACTCAAAATATGCAATACCAAGATGGAGGCTACCAGCTCATGCTATACATGCGGCTTTAACATTGAGTCCACCTCGTGGGGTTCGGCCAGCCCCTAACTCCCCAAAAATGAAACTTAGGTTTATCCCATAGTTATAGTTTCAGTCTCACCCACTATGGATGCTAGATGTTGATATCGTATATTGTTATGATTAATAAGAAGTATACCAGATTTGGAACAAAGTAATATTATTTTTTTCTTTGCTTCTTTGTTCATTTCTGGTATATTTCATTTTGTGTACACAATTTGATCATTGCGATGTAGCAATAGCATGTACCAATTATTTCCCTGCTACAAAATACTACTACGTTTCGAACTTCCGCAATTGTCGAATAATTGCATATGTCGAATCTGGTAAATTTTTTCATTTATATAAATTTAAAAAGTATTTTGTGTCACGCACGGTAGAACAATTTATATCTAGTAGCATTGAAAAGATAATAATATTTTCAAATAATTATGTCTCTCTTTGTATTGGTATTTACAGAATGATGATGTATCCTCTCTGATTTACTTATTTTAGTTAAAATTTCATTATTTGGAATTTGTTTTACTTTTCAGTTTCTTCCTGGTTTACAATACCATAGACGTTGGGTAGTATAAATATTACACAAATCATAGATAGGTTAGTTTCTGTTATCATCTATATATATATATATTTTTTTTTTTAACATTTAGTGGCACAAAGTAATGTTTCAAATGTTGTCTAAATGTTAGTTATTGTAAACATCTGATCTGTGTAAGAACAAATGATTCTGAAAATTATTAGTTATGTTGAAATTTCAATTTAAGTTTATAAACATTTAATAGTCTCATCGCATTGAAAAATTAGTTTCCATATGATCACTGTAAATAAGTAACAATATGCATGATTATTAATTTTATGGGTGATTGCTTCGGAATACTAAGCGCCTAAACTTGATTCCAGAGAGATGGTAAAACAGCCTTTATGAAAAGGTATCATAAGAAAATTTCTCAAACCCATAAGAGAGAGAGAGAGGGAGAGAGAGAGAGAGAGAGAGAGAGAGAGTAATAATGACAATAACTCAACAATCGTATATGCTATTTTTAAACATTTCATTTGTTCTAATACAGCATTATTATAAGTGCATGTATACATTATGTCTCCAAGCCATCATATAGCTTAAACAGCTTTAGCTATTATTATTTCATAAATAAATTAGCTAGTCATTTGCAAATTGAAATATTTAAAAAAGACATTTTTGTTTAAATATTAACGCTTAATGAAAAAATGTATTATCAGTTATATCTTTTAATTAATTATGCACATCATATAACGTATTTTTAATACACATTGTCTTTATACTTTATTTTCAAAGTAAATTTTATATTCAAAAAAAAAAAACAAAAAACAAAAAAGGAAAAATCAATAAGGCCTTTTAGAGGTAGATTTTCTTTATTTATGTATTGATATAATATGTTGAAGTATAAGTTGAACACACTTTTGTATTTTAGATCACATCTATATATGAAATATCATCAAGATTTAAAACATTTCTTAATTTATGTTTTATATTTGTGTACAGGTACCTGAAAAATGTATTTCCCAAAGTGGATGAAACAATGTTACTTGACATATTAGAACAGAGTGAAAATAATGTTCAAAAAGCTTCAGAAAAATTAATTGATCTAGGCTACGAGAAACGAAATCTTACTGCTCCTAATAAATTAAATAAAAAGAAGGATAAAGATCAAGTAAGTAATAAGTTTTATTTTATGACGAAATATTTCATGTAAATGTTTCATTAATTTATTGTTTTAATATAGAACCAGAATGAACGATCTGTTCCAACTCCGCCTCCACGTATGAAAAGTTTGGAGGAAAAAAATAAAAGTATATTAAAAATATATATACATATATATATATATATATATATAGATTTCTTTTTTTAATATATAATTAATGTATATTTTAATAAAATACTTTCAGTGAAAGCACGCTTAACAGAAAAATATAAATTCGTACCAGAGAGAGTAATAGTACTCGCTATGGATAGTGTAGATTATGATGAAGAAAGAGCAATACACATATTAGATATTATGGTTGCAGAAGAAGCTACAAGGCCACTTTGTACTTCCAGTAGTCAAAGGTAATCTCATATTTGTTTTATATACTTGTTAATATTATATATTTATTAAATATGAATGGTTCTTTGATCAAAGCGATACTTTTAGAATTTTTTTATATTTTATTATCAAAACACTTGTGATCATTTTTTATATTAACAATAAATTTCTTTAATAATTAGGTTTAACATTACTAAATGGGAATAATGTTTTTGACCTTTTGTTAAGTGACACGATTAAAGATACTTTATCAATTTTGCTTACTTTTTGTTTTATGGAGATAATCAACTTCACATATCAGCGATTAATACAATTAGTCCAAGAGCCCACGACGGCCAGACCTTCGTTATTTTATAAAAGCTGAAAGTTTTTCTGTGCATGTCCCCTATTATTATTTATTATATTATTCCATGCTTATTGGGCTCAGTAACTTTGAGAGAAATATTGTGATTGTCAAAAAAATTGAATTCGAACTAACGTCGAAGGTAGAGTCCAACGTTAGCGTGTGGTTTGAGTTTTTGCGATAAGAAATCTTTGTAGCCATTGTGTACATTGTGTCGTTCAAAACCTCATAAGATGACCTACAAAACCTAAATAAACACCACTATTGCTCAATTTACCATCGAGTGGTGCCTGAGAGGTACCGCTCGAGCGTAAAGGGTTAATTTTATACTATAACTACTTGCTTCTCTTAAATTCATATATTTCCTACTTAAAGTATTCAATTTTATTTTGTTTCATACTTTACTGATGAATATAATTAATTTATAAATTAATAGAATTCACGCTTTTATCGATAACATATATTTTAATGAAAACATATATACAGATATAAATTTATATTTTCATTATTTGAATAGCAGTCGAAGCGACGAGCGAAAGGAAAGTCCACCTGTGACAGAAGCTATAAAACTAACAGCATCACCAATTAAAAAAATCGTTAAAGAAGTTGATTCTGAGAAATCGAAGAGATCGAAAAGTAAAATAGAAATACCAAAGTACGACATTTACGTATTACTTTTATAATAATTGGATTAAAGATTTTCAAGTTATTGCCAATTATGTTATTAACTCTTTCGATACTACCAACGATCGTACCAACTACGTACGTAGTTTACATACGTATAATTACCCATTGTTTAACGCTCGCGTTTATTATTGATGATTATGATTGCCTAACGTCATATTCTTGTTGTGTCTTATCGAGGAACAAAAGTTACAATTTTTAAAATTTAAATATTTTGAGATGCACATTATATTGTAACATTTCACCCTTTTATCTACTTTGCGATAAAATTTATGTTTGCATTTTAATTAGCATTTAATAACACCTTACTTGCGATACATATATTTGTACAGCAAAAGCGTACTTGCGAATGACATAACTGTATCGAAAGAGTTAAATATTTTCAATTAAACAATTATATGATAACTTATAAAATATTTACATTATAGAGTTTCCCGTGGAACTAGTACCACCGAAGATAATGAGCATAAATCTTCATATCTGTTGAAACCTAATGGTCCAAATCCTGAATTATCAAAAGGAGCTAATAATGATTTATTACTGTAAGTTTTAATACAAATTAATTTTGCTAATGTATATCGTAGAGTGTTCTAAAAGTCCTAGACAATGAAATATTAAAAGAAAAAATAAAGTTTTATAACAAAATGTTTTATACAAGAGTTATATTATTTTTAAAGATTTATCAAACTTTATTTATTTGATCTTGAATGGTGAAAATCCAATTTTCTTAAGCAGAACATCATATTTTCTATTATACTGTATTAAAAAGTTGATACTGAGAACACTAATTGATGATCTTTTCTTATAATGGGAATTGTTTGAGTTATAAGTTTTCAAAGATTAAGTACCATTATCATTACCTTAATTATTCAATAATGCATTAAGGTCTTCGATGTCACCAACCAATATTTTGAAAACATTTCGATGCCGATTTTAATTTATAAATAAATTGAAAAAATGTATGTTGACTTTGATATAACTTTGATTTCCTTTTCATTCAAAATCAAAAATTGATTTTTATAATACAATACATTACTAAAATGCAATTGCAGTCCATAACCATTTTTTTTGTTAACAATTCTTTTTTTTTGTGAGATATTTTATCATTATGGAACTTTTGAAACACTTCATATAATGTCTTTTATTTGATATCTATTAAAAATAATTTTAAATTGTTTCAGACCAGACTATGCACCATGGTCAGGACCAGATCCTACTTTATTATCGAAAGAACAATTTCCGAAATCAATAGTAATGGGACATGATTCAACTTTAGTATCAGGAAGTTGTCTTGCTAAAGGTCCTAATGCTGAGTTACGAAAAGGTCCATTAAGAGGATTAGCAGAAGGTTCCATATATTCTCAGAGAAATTTAACGAATACAGAAAGCCGTGGTAAATGAAATATGTGTGACTGTTTCTTATTAAATCTTTTTACATTTACAAATTAACATGAAATAATTTATTCTTCATAAATTACATGGTGTGTCTAAAAAGTTCGGTGAATGGTCTCAAGAAAATAAAGGAAACAAAAGAGTTACAAACAAAATACATTTACTGGCCTTTAAAGTAATCGCCATTGGCTACAATACAATTCTGACATTGGTTGTACAGCTGTTGGAAACTGTAAACAAACGCTTCCTGTGGAATCGCTCGAAGCACTGCGGTCACGCTCACGATTTCCAAAACCATTGCGAAACGTAAACCTTTCAAGGCTAATTTAAGACAGGAAACAGAAAGAAGTCTGCCGGCACCAAATCTGGAGAATAATGAGTGTGTGGAAGCACAGTGACCTTGTGTCTAACGAGAAAGTTGAGCATTTTGCTCCATTTTGCGCTCCATGTTGCAATGACACGAGTTCTCACATTGACCTTGTTAGTTGGGTCGCAGCGTGTACCAACGCTTCACTACAGTGTTTTGCACGATAGGAAACGTTTGTTGACATGTCCTTCAATGTGTATGCGCGGGCACCTCATCCTTGCCAGCGCGGTTTGTAAAATATGGGACTATTCACCAAACTTTTTAGACGCACCATGTATTATAAAAGAATAATGATGATTCTTGTATGCTTTTCTTTTGCGATATTATTAATGTGAAATTAATTTGACATATTCCTTTCCGTATTATCTTTTAATTAGTAATTATTATTTTAATTTATTTACTATCAGACACATACAGTTAATCTCTCCGTCTAATATAATAATATCGTATAGTATACTAATGTTCACTAAATTAATAATGATAAGAATACTAATAGAAATTGATATGTGTCTGATATAACTAATCTCGAATAATTATAGATATCTTTGTGAATATTTTAGTCAAATTTGCAATACTCTTAGTTTCTTAATTCATTGATATTACTCTATATTCTCTTAATGTTTAAATTATTCATGTTTATTGATGGACGTAATATATTTTATTGTTAATAATCATATATTTTTATTCTGTTAGGAAAATATATTTTAATCTTGTTTCTGTTGAATACAAAATTGAAACATATTTGGTCCTTATATATAACAAAAAGAGGCCAATAACATTAATAATATTTCTATGACTAGATTACAGATATGCGAAAGTATAAAAACAAGATAGTCCAAATATCTACTTGCATTCAATACATTTATATAATTAGGAGAGTAGAAGGATTTGATAGTGTATTATCTTAATACACATTAATGATTCAAAGATACTACATTATTTATACATTAACATATCCTAACAAATCTAGTTTTATACAAAAATATATATGTATGTATGTGTGTGTATGTATGTTGTGTATGTGTATGTGTGCGCATGTGCTTAAAAAAACTTGTTTTACATTAAATTTCTATTGTTACACAATCATTTGCAAAATTATTTATGATATAGTTCAAAAATATCAATTTCTAAGTATAAAATAATTTACCTTTATTATGTAAAGTTGAATATCGTTTAACATTCTTGTTTTTCTTTCATTATTTATTATATATTATATTGTGTTAACAGTTCAAATTACAAAAAGTTTAATTAGCTTTGAATTAATTAAAATTAATATCGACAGGTGTAGAAATTCCAACTAGATTAAGATATTTAATTAAACACAAAAAGCCAAAATATTCAGTATTAAAAAGTATTTAAATTAAATCTAAGAGTACATTTAAAATATGAATATAGTTCAGTGAATATTCACATGGACATTAATTTTTGTATGATACAAAAACATTCCCTAATATAAAAAATAATAAAAAATTATAATTCCGCATATCTGCAATATAAGCTCTAACTAATCAATATAAGAATATAAATCATTATTACCATATATGATTTATAACAAGATATGAAATGAAGAAGAAAAAAAAATGAAAAAAAAAAAACAAAACAAAAAAAAATAGAAAAAAAAAAATACGTCAAATATAAAACTTACAAGTACTTTAATTAAGTTAATAGACAGATGTATTTTCATAGCTTCATTCAATAATCCTGCCTTTAAAAAGAAATCTAGTATGTTTGTGCAAGTTCAGAATCAATAATAATAGATGGGCTGTGGTTGAGATTTCAGTTATGAGAGCTATTTTTATAGCTTTTTAACTTCTGAAAAATGATGGTGGATAAATAATATATTTTGACTATATTTTAAGTAATATCGAATGCAAAAGAAGATATTAATGCAAATAGAATAAATGAGCTCTCCAGTTCTAGAAATAAAATCATATATTTTAATGTTAAGCACATCTATACTTTTTGAGATATTATATTATATATAAATAAGGTATTGGTAAATGTATATCGATATGTACGACAGATAGCATGTAACGTGAATGTATACTAATCAGGTTAACGAAAAATATCTCCTATTTGGATAGACTTCAATTTCATTTGAATATTTCGACAGAATTTCTTTATTGCATGAATTGATTATCTGATATAGAAGGTAATTCAAATTAGATTATACATTAGTATATTTGGTCTTTTTAACTAAATGTGTATCTCTCATTACATTTTATTAATCTTTATATTAATCGTTTAGAACACATTTTATGTATCTAGAAGATAAACATTAATCGATATTAATATTGTTTCTCTTAACAGTTAATAATATAAATAACTAGTTAAATGATAAGTCATATTTTTCCGTTTATAAATGTGATATTATTTTTTAATAGACATTAGAGATCCAATGGAATACATATATGTATGAAAGTATCAAAGTGAATTTATGTATTTTCATGATATCTTTTGTTTCAATCTATTCATCGTTCGTTATTCATAAAATTTCACATAATTGCATATATATATATATATTTTTGTTATGAGAAGAAAAAAACAAAATAAAAAATATGTTTGTATTACATTCCTTATAGATTTTTCAAACATTTGATAAATAATTAATATTTATAGATGAAGAAATGTGAAATTTTCAGTTAGCAATAATGATGTCGATGGTTTGTGTGTTAAGTATTGCAAGTAATAAAGCAAAATTGTATTTCGTTGTATCTATACATATCTGTGCAATAAAATAATTTAACTTGTTTATTATCTGTAATAAATTGAATCCTTTTGATACTACCAGTGACTATAATCACCCAACATCGTATTTTCACAGTGTTGTTTGTACCTGTGAATATAATCGCCTATATATATATATATATATATATATATATATACATATATGTTTAGTAATGGTTTACAATTGGTAAAATCTAAATAGTTTAGATGAACTATATGTTACTATTGTACATTTTTTTATCTATTACACGATCAAATTTATATTCGTACTGCGAAAATATACTCGCAAACAACATAGTCGTATCAAAAAGGTTAATCTAAACTTTAATATTTTCAGTCGTGCGTGTTGTATTAAAATATTATCTACATATATAGTTTATAATGCAAATAATACCAAAATAGAAATAAAATATAGAAAAATTAAATTTGAATGATACGACACGCAATACTCTCTATATAAATTTTCTATACTAGTTGTTCATTAATTAACATGTTAATTTATAAACATTAAGTTCGGTAAACATATCTATGTTAATAATAATATAAACAAATTTTGTACATTACTTAACAGGTTGAATGCTACGGGGGTCACTGGTTAATAGACCAGATTAATAGAAATGTATTTCACATCGTGGCGCCACGAACAATCCTGTTAATGCTTATTAGTTCTTTTATTAAATAATTAATTGTTCACTTCATCTTCGTTCAAAAGCATATTAGGTATGCCATCATTAATGGGAAAACGTCTACCAGATTCTGGACACAGCAAGTCTCCACTTACGACATCAATTTCAAATAACGCATGGTGTGCTTGTTTTAAGAAATCAATATCTTTATCATAACCTTTTTGTAATTCTTTGGGAATTATGTCAGCATGTCCAATCTAATAGAAAGATCTTTTAATTAAAAATATAAACATTRAGGATATAAAATAAAATATTTATAAAAAAAAAAACTTACACTTTCAGCAGCTCTCCACAAAGCTGGCCAATCTAATTTTGGAATAATCTTAATTATGAATTCTGGATTAAAGTCAATTTCAGCTATTCTAACATCTCTAGCCTATAAAGTAATAGATAGTTTTCAATAATTGTTCATAATAAATACAAATATAATTTTTTTAAAGTGAGATTTTATGAAGAGTTAACCTTATATCGACTTTTTTAAGTATGATTTTTTTTTATGAAATTAACTTACAATAATTCCCAAAGGATAACCCACAGTAACTCCTTTTAAAGATTGTGAAGTTAACATATTATGTGTTATTAATTTCATTTTGTATTAAAATTAAAAATCACAATTAAAATAAAGATACACAAATCTTCGTTCAATACTAGCAATGTAGACACAACAATCCTCCGTAATTTACGAAAGCGAAATGATGCGTTTACGGTATTTTGTAATGAGCGATGCCATAACGTGTATTTTCCACTCATGCGCACTACCTAATTCTCAATAACGTATATACTTCTCTCAAATATGGGGTATCGTTAGACCCCCATGATAATTGAAATACGGTAGAAATTACAGGAAGAGGACATTTTTAAAAGAAATAACATATTTACATGGAAATAAATGAATATATATATTTTTTTATTATTTTGTACATCTGCATGGTCCAAATCAGACCAGTAGCCAAAAAAATCAATACATTCTATCGATTGTTGTATTTTTCCATGCATTTAAGCATTAATGTTTATTACTAAAAGTGAACTTTTTGAATTGGGCGCTTGGAGGCGCTATATGAAAATTACTAAACAGGATTGGCTGAACAGAGTCGTATGCTGATTGGTAATTGGTTTAATTTTGTAGTGGAATTTAAAATATTACACTTTCATACAATGTTACGTTAATGATAGTCAGCACTTTAAATGTCACTTGAAAACACGCTTTAAATATTGCAGGCCATAAACATATTTTTGTTTCTTTTCATTTACTCTCTTTACATTTTATATTCAGTGTATAATATTCCAAATTAAAAATAATCGAAAGTGAATCTTTAGATAAATATTTATTTTTATTTTGATGAAAATGATTGGAGAATAGTAAATAAACATAAATGAAAGGATGAAGAGAAAATACATAACAAATTAACGTTTAATCTCTGTTAAATGTGAAAATTCAAAAGATAATATTAAAGACCGCCATGAATTTTTATCCGAATCACGTGATCACTTCTATCGTAGGAGTTAACTCTCGTTACGAGAGGTTAGTTCATCAAGATAAAAACGTTGATTTTAATAAATATTATGCAAATAAAAGAAGATCGATGCGCGAAACACGTTGTTTTTTTATATTAAATAAGATTACTGTCACAATGGCAGTATAATAAATCACTTAATAACCTCTTAAAAACATAAGTATATAGATGACACATCGGAACATATGGATGATAAGAACAGTGCTACAAAGTAGAAAATCTTGAATAAAGTAACGAAGGTCACATCATCTTGTCCTGGAAATAATGCTTGATCAACTGTCATCAGCATTTTCCGTTTATATTTCCTATTATTCCGTTAGTGATATAGGTTTTTTCAATCAAATTTTGATAAATTAATCAAATTTGTCGGGATATAACCAAAAAACCTTAGCAATCTACGTGTGCAAAAGTTTATCAGCAGTGCTTCCTCTCCCCTTTCTTTATTTGCGTTGATACACTTAAATATGTTACATTATCTTCCATTAATGGCATATCGTTAAATTTATCAATGACTCGTGTCTAGAAGAATTATACAACAAAGAAGTATTAACGAACAAAATCTTTTGAGTAAAGATTTATACATCATAGAATAATATTTTCTTTAAATTGTGTTAAATGATATAAAATTTAGTGAATGAAGTGGATTAATTGAAATATGTTTGAAAGAATGTTATGCTTAACCATAGATATGACATCTTGACAAACAAAAAGGAAGATATTTTTTTATGAAGAATGGCTCGTGATTCTTTCTTATTTGGATTGCTGATGTTCGGATGTAGCATACATGCATTAATGGCTACATCCGATGACGATCAATTGGATTATATGAATAAAGAAGAACGTGAAGCATTGAAGTATGTATGAAGAATTTGAAAATGTTATTTATTGTATTTAATAATTTTGTATTATTTTTAGGGATGAAGCAAGGGATATGTTTTATCACGCTTACAATGCTTATATGGTAAATGAAACTATGCTTAACACGCTGACTGACACGTTAGTCACTTGTGGTCGGTCGGCGTTTATACTCATGGTCAATGGGACCATGAAGGTCATTTGTGATCAGTATTACTATATTGTTTTATACAGTGCTTTTTTTTTGTAAACAAGAAATGCCAGAACCTATTTCTTGTCAAATTATGTTCAAATATCATTTAAATGAAATTTAAAGCCACTTTTTTTCCTATGCCACGGAGCTAGCTCATAAAAGATTAACACATAATTTATGTCAATGTTTATTATATTTGTAGTATGGCCAAATCCAAATATCATATTTTATTATTTGTTTCTTTTTTTTTTTTTTTAATCTTATTTCTTTCTTATTTATTCTTATTTGATCTGAAATATTTTTTGTTCGCTTTTGAAATATTAGAAATATTGTAAAAAAAGATCCTGGAACTGCGTTTCAGTGTTACATCACAAAAAAGCACTGGTTTTAAATTTGATTTTAGAATTTTAACGTTTACGTCAAACATGCTATACTTGCGTGGCAGTCAACGTGTTAACACATTTATGTCGAGGCGTTTTGAATTGAACTTTACGTAAGATCGGAAAGATTTCGTGGTTTATGTTTCAATCATATTACATTAGAAAAAACTACTATTACTTCAAATAAATAATATTTTTAAAGAAAATTTTTGAGAATGTAGTAAATTATTTTATCGCATTATAATGTATACTTTTTAAAATTTAATTATCAGAGATTTTCAATCTAATGTCGTAGTTATTTATTTCTAACAATAAGATAAATATGTACATAAAAATGTCAATTGTGTATTTCGTGTTAACTGATCCTTAGTAGAAAACACGCATTACGCATTACGCATTACGTATTATAAGGCTACGTTGTAGTGGACGCGAATTTTGTGATGGAAACAAAAGTAAATTTAGCAGTAAAGCACCATAGTGCAATTGAAATAAAATACATTTCCATTCGCATAAATAAACGTCCTATTTTTGCAATAGTTGTCATACGAGCAATTGTATGATGTTAGAAAAAGTATGAACATCAAAACGATTTGAATGAAGTTATTTTGACGTGTTCTTGTATCATTTGAAAAAATGTTTACAACCAAACAAATCACTCTCATAACATTCAACGTATTTGATTGTTCTAACGAATAAATCTGAATTTGCTTTCATTAGAATTCGCGTCTATTGTAACCGCAGCATGAGTTATCAGACGCGAATGTGTTAATTATAATTTTGTAACAATGATGGATGGCAATGAGTGATTATTTGGATAAATTATAGGAAAATGCTTATCCTGCGGATGAGTTAATGCCATTAAGCTGTAAGGGCCGATATAGAGGATCGGAGCCAAATAGAGGTGATATTGATTCTACATTAGGAAAGTAAGAATGTGTATCTTAATCTATTATTATATTTTACATTTTTTGGATAAATAATATTTTTTACTTTTTTTCTTTTATTAATTAACTTCTTTCATATATCCTTACAGTTTTTCCCTTACATTAGTGGATACTTTAGATACACTTGTGGTAAGATTTACTATTAACACAAAGATAAACTTATAGTATTGAATGTTCTCATATTAATCTACTAATAATGTTACAGGTGTTAGGTGATTTGGAAGAATTTGAAAATGCAGTAAAGCTTGTTGCTAGAGATGTCAGCTTTGATACAGATGTAATAGTGTCTTTATTCGAAACTAACATCAGAATGCTTGGGTAATTGGATCTCAGATTTATTTTATCTAAATCGGTGTTTCCCAATTTTTTTTAAATCATCACTCATCTCTCATTGTCTCAAAACTCTAATATTCCCTAGTACAGGGCTTCTTAAACTTATCCACTTGGTGACTCCTTTTAACAGAGCAAATATTTTTGCGACCATGCGACATCGTTTTCCTTCGTGGGTCGCATACCTTTGTCTCTTACATCAAACAGGCTGCTGCAACATCGGAGCCGTCTCAATTAAATTATCAAACTTTAACATTAATAAGTATTTCTAATAAAAATTGAAAATCTTTTCAATTAACCTTTCTTTAAGAAATATCAATTTTATCTTGAATGTTAATTTGAATAGAAATTTTTAACAAGAAACACCGATATGTTGACGTATATTATTGATTTGTTCATTGTCCCATTATTGGGAAACACTGATTTGCACTTATGTAGTTAATACTGTTTAAATAAAAATATTGAAATATATTGTCAACAGAGGTCTTTTAAGTGGTCACTTATTAGCTGAATATTTGCAACAAAGGGCTGACATAATGCCATGGTATAGAGGCCAATTATTAGGTTTAGCCAAAGATTTAGGATACAGATTTTTACCTGCATTTAATACATCTACTGGAATACCTTACGGCAGAGTAATATATCTTCTATGTTTAATTATTTCATACTTTTCTATAAATGTTAACTCTGAATGTGTAAACATATAATAATATACGATTTTGTTTATTCAGATTAATTTAAAATATGGCATGAAAGGTGTTCCCACAGAAGTATCAAGAGAGACTTGTACTGCTTGTGCAGGCAGCATGATATTAGAAATGGCTGCCTTGTCAAGATTAACTGGAGAATCAATTTTTGAGGTATTAGTTATTTGGACATTATTAAAATAGGTATATTATAAAATAAATTATAATCTCTTGTATTTTATACAGGAAAAAGCACAAAAGGCAATGGATGTATTGTGGAAAATGCGTCATAGAGGAACTGATTTAATGGGTTCTGTATTAAATGTAAATTCAGGTGACTGGGTACGTAGAGATTCGGGTGTAGGAGCAGGTATAGATTCCTACTATGAATACTGTCTAAAGGCTTATATTTTATTAGGTATTTAATATCTTTTTTTTTACTAATATTTTCATTAATATTACCTATAATATTTACTATTATATTTATTATTCTATAGGGGATGAAAAATACTTAGGACGTTTTAATAAACATTATCAAGCTATTATGAAATATGTAAGTCAAGGGCCAATGTTATTAGATGTACATATGCATAGACCAAATACAAATTCCAAAAATTTCATGGATGCTTTATTAGCTTTTTGGCCTGGTTTACAAGTACGTATAGAATCTTTATTAATTTTTCTTTTTTTTTTTTTTTATCAAAATCTATTTCACTTTGCTTCTTGCAGGTATTAAAAGGAGATATTAAGCCTGCAGTAGAGACACATGAGATGCTTTATCAAGTTATGCAAAGACATAACTTTATACCAGAAGCTTTTACTACTGATTTTCAGGTAGATATTATACGTAATGATAAATATAGTGGAATCTGTTCTATTATAATAATTTTGAGATTTGCTATTGTTGATAAGAATAACCAGTTGATAATATTAAATAAAAAGTACAAAATCTTTATTGTTGAATTCAAATGATTACAAACAATTATGATATTTGTATATTTTTTACGGTCAATGTATATATTCTACAGAATAGCCACTAAAATTGGGTAATGTATACATATCGAGCATATGTATTTTATACATTTCTCAGTCAATCTATACAATGCTCAGATGGTTTTGGTCAATCTATAAAATGTTTCGAGTTCAAAAAGTTACAATCTATTGTAAGTGTAACATTATATTTGTCTCCTAATTTAGGTCAACTATTCAGGAAACAGTTTGATATACAATGTATATTTTACGAGGGTAAATTTGAAAAGTCACCCTGTATATTTTATTTTTTTATTGTATATTTATCGCAGTCTACAACACACTTAATGTATATTAAGTATTTATGTTATTTTTTTTTTTTTTTTTTATAAAGAACTTTATGAAAAAAAACCCACAAAATGTATTTGAAAAATTTATCAAATATTGCTGAAACACTTTAGAAAAATATTTATTTATATATTTTTTATAAATATTTATCATGCTCTCGTGTAAATGATGAAAGGGTGTATGCTTTAGCTAAAAGAAAATTTATAAAAAAAAGATTTGTTTAGTAAAAATTCGTTATAAATTCTAATCATTTGTTTTCAAGTGTAATTATTCAAATAGATAGATTTTGAAACATTAATTTTATGCAGAATGTTTTAAGATCAAATGATAATAATAAAAAAAAAGCCGATTATTAACATTATGATTAATATATAACCAGGTGAGATTATTATAACCAGATTCTACTGTATTCCTGGTTTTATGACATATTTGTAAAATGATAATATGTGAAAAATTGTAATGTAATTTGTTTTTCACTAAATGTAATTAGGTACATTGGGGACATCATCCATTGAGACCAGAGTTTTTAGAATCAACATATTTCCTTTATCGTGCAACAGGCGATCATTACTATTTGGGAGTTGGACGTAAGGTACTGAAAAGTCTTCAAACGTATGCTCGAGTATCATGTGGCTACGCTGCTGTATCAGATGTTAGGACTAATAAACACGACGATACTATGGACAGTTTCGTGTTATCTGAAACATTTAAATACCTTTATTTATTATTCGCGGAACCAGCAGATTTAGTCTTAGATTTGGATGAATTTATTTTTACAACTGAAGGTCATTTACTTCCACTGACATTAGCTTCAATAAGAACAAATGTTTCTTCCGTGAGTTATCAACAAAACTTTGAAATAATCAATAAATATTTTTCATCTGTTTAACGTAGATATAAAAAATATGTTTACAATTGTTTTAGGACTTTGAACGAGATTCTGTTCAAGTAGATGAATTTGATCGGACATGTCCCAATAGTTTACATTTATTTCCAGCATCGGTTAGGCAACCCTTAAGAAACATGGTGGAAGATGTTTGTCCAAGACGTCCTATAAAAAGAAGATTAAGTGCATCTCAATTTCAAGTAACATTATGGAATTTTTGTATTGTATTATTATTTCAAAATAAATATGAATAAATTTGGATGTTTATTTTAGGCTAATAATTTGGAACATTTAAAAATATTGAGTGAAATGGGCATAACAGCTTTAACATTAGCAGATGGAAGAGTGCAATTATTGCATACAATTTCTAATGTAATTTCTTTCTTAGTTAGATTTATAGGCTTATTAAGTATAAAACGTCCGATTGCTCTGATAATTACTTTCAGTTCAAAATTGAACATTTCATACTTAATGATTTAATATTTAAAATGATATTCATTTGGTAATAAAAATATTAATTTTTTAAGGCAAGAACACCACAAGACTCTGAAGAAGGTTTATTATTTATGCAAGAAATGGTTGAATTTAGTATAATGCAGACGCAACAAACAGAAACTAAACCACAAGCAGTTACATTTATAAAACCAAAAACTTATCCGCCACAAAAAGTAACATTATTGGCTGGACCAGCGCATTTTGGTCCTGAATTACATAGTTTTAATAAAGTTACTGGAAAAGTTGTTTTCACATATCCTCTTTCTGCTTGTTCAGATCTTCTTAATGCAGAAAAGTTGAAAAATAAAATAGTTATTATGAAACGTGGCGATTGTATGTTCATGGAGAAGGTAAATTTCTTATAAATGCAAAAGTGAAAAAAAATATATATATATATCAGGTGATCATTTCTATATATATACATATATATATATATATATTGTGTTAAACAAATTCAGGCACGAAGAATTCAAAAAGCTGGTGCTATAGCAGGTATAGTATTAGATAATGTATCTGGTACTAGTGCAGCAACATCTCCAATATTTGCTATGTCTGGTGATGAAAAAGAAGTAGACGATGTGACAATACCTGTTGTATTTCTTTTTAATGTGGAAGCTACTGAACTAATTAAAGCTATTAGTGAGAGTAGAGGTGAACTTGTCGTTATCATTGGTAAGAAAGTTTATTTATAAAAGGATATAAATAATTAAAAATTTATATATAATTATAACAAAATATTTATTTAAATTAATAGGTAACTTTTTTTCAAAAGATGAAGTTCAGTTAAAAGCACCTACTGACTTATCATTGTTTGAACAACTAAAAGTCCCGTTAAAATCTTTACTAGATATGAATAAAAAAATACAGGTTTGTTTGTTTTTGTATTATACAATGATTTCTCTCATGTACAGTAATTATTCTATTTATGCGGATAATTAGTTTTACGAAAATAGCATATAAATGGAACCATGAAAAGTGTCAGCATTTGTTTAATCGTGTGCGAATTGTGCATTTATTCAGATTATACAATCAAATAACATTATTAATTTTCTTATCTTTTACTAATGTCTGGATAATTTCAAATTGAAATTCTAAGTTTATTCAGGTTCTTGCCCTTTTCTTAATTATTTTATTAATAGTACCCCTTATTGATGTCATTACAATGTTCACTACAAACCTGCAGATAAGTTTATGCAATTACTAAAAAAATGAGTCCGCATAAATGGAGGGTTTACTGTAGTCCTATATGATGTAAATAAACTAAAAAACAATTTCATTTTTATTCTAAGTACAGAATACTGAAAGGAATGATTTACATGAAGATTTTAATATCGAGAACGAACATCAGGATACTATTGATTTTAATCATTTATCTGCACGAATTATCCAAGATTCACTTGAAGGAGAGATAAGGATTACAGTTAAGTCAGATGTACCATCTATTTACATGACGAAGAATTCAAAATTGACTATTTTACCGTTTACTGAGATACAATGGCAACAATTGAAAGAATTCTTTGTAAATCAATTGTACAACAATCTTGGATCTAATCAAAAATCTGAACTACGTATTAGAACTTTTCTACTGAAAAGTTATTACAATTTGATAATGGCAGAGCAAGGTGTCGATGTAAATGTTTATAATGGAGCAAGTTTGAAGCAAAAAGTTCTATGGCTGTTAAAAGAATTAAGTGAAGTTGCGCCAAAACCATCAACAATTGCTCATTTTATGAATTCTAATAAATTAACAATAACTAATTACAATTTACTTACGAAATTGGATCGTACTGTCTTATATTCAAAAGAGATTTCAACAAAACTCAAAGAAATAAAATCTATAATACCAAATTTGAAGCCATTTAAAAATATCTCAACATATTGTTTAGAACAAATTAGTAATAGTATTGTATTACGAAATATACTACGAAAATTATTTGACGAAGATAAAATCATTAAACAACATTTGGATCTTTTATATCATGTTGGTAAAGGTGTGCAAAGTATATACCAAGAAATATTAATGAATAATAATAAGGAAAAAGATGTAGACAAATTTAATGAAAATAAAGATCCTGAATTTCTTAAACAAAAAGATGATTTAACTAATGATAATAATGAAAGTAACAATGAAATTAGTTTAAAGGATCTATTTATAAAATTGTTAGATACAGCCAAAGATTATAATAAAAAATATGAAAATTTTGAAAATATCATGTGGACAGAGATAGAAAAAGTTGAAAAAAATATTGAACAAAATAATTTACAAGAGTATGAAGATGAATCTAATATTTCTAATTATATGGAAGTTAAAAATAATGAAAATAAAATGATTACCGAATCAGATGAAATGTCCATTCAATCTGATGTATTAAAACAAAGCAAAAATGGAAGTAATATAAAGAAAAATAAAATGGAAAATATAGAAGAAAAAGAATTAGTATCTTTAGACATAAAACAAAGAAATGTAGATCTTATAGATAAGAAAGTTGAAAATAAGGAACATTCCACAGAAGCTTTATACAAGAAAACTTTATTAAATGATGCTAATCTATTATATCCAATTTCCAAAGAAATAATAAGGTCATACACTACAGATCCTGCACCAGAAGATGAGATTCGAAAAATTTTACAAGAAATTCAGGATGGAATGGATGATAAAATTAATAATATTAATAATAAAAATAATATTGATAATATTGATAATAATAATAATAATAACAACAACAACAACAACAACAACAACAACAATAATAATAATAATAAATTAAGTAACAAACAGAATAGAAAAAAAACTAGTAATAATAATGTAATATCTAGAGATCATTTATTAGAAGAATTTAGAAAACCAATATGGGCATCCGATGAAGAGAAAACGAAATTGTTCACAGAATTTCATCAAAATGCTAGATTATCTAATACAAAATATAATTTAAAAGAAAAAAGTGATTTAAATAATAAAGAAGACTATACTATCAAATTTAAAAGTAGGAAAAATGATGAATACAAATATAAAATAAAACATATCGATGATGAATTATAATAATGATTTTTCATATTTAGACAAATTCTAATTATTTTAAAAGAGAAAATCATCTTCTACTCACAACAAAGCTTATCAATAATGCACCTGGTATTTTTGCAAACAATTTAGGTGCAATGAGTTTCAAAGTTTTATATTTACCAAATGTATTATATATACGATAAACTATAATTATATAATAGACAAAAAATAGTGGACAAGTTACAGTTCAGTGATACTCTGGGGTTTTACAAAAAATATTTCAGATTATACAAAACTGGTGCTTAGAATGAATGTATAATAATGTATTGTGAAATGAAGGTGAGCACGATAAAAGAAAGTTATAATATTGAGATGCATGTGTATACGCATTTTTATTAGGAAATGTCATAACTTATATGCATAGGAAATTGGATTAATGTGATTATAAGAATGATAATAAAGTAAAGGCTCTAACTGATGTACATTTTATAAATTACATAATTAGAGTATAATTTTCGTGAATATTACAATACATAAATATTGTATTTTCTATTACTTCAGAGAATATTAATATTTGTTATTGCCCTAATATTAGTACTTTCTACTTTAAACGCGTGCCATGTTTTCCACTATTAATTATAATATGAAAATAAGAACAAAAACATTTAGTAAATTGACAATCTAATGAACGTTATGACATATTTTTTGTTTTTTGTAAATGTAAAATATTATTATTTAATGTTAAACATTTAAAAACTGTAATATCATATTTTATTTCTATATGTATTGCAGTATTTATGTTATGCATTATTAAATTACATAAGTGAGGTAGAAATGTTGATATTTGAATTTTCAAAAGTAAACATCTAATCACAATAAATTTAGAAATGTTATTCTTTTCAATATATTTATTCAATTTTAATTAAAAAATAAAAAAATTATAAAAATTTAATTAATTATGTAATATGGCAATGTAAAAATTATAATTTAATTGTAATAATTATGTGTCTTATATGTACATAAGTATGTATAATAAATTATATGTAGTGCATAATATAAAAAGTATACCATTTAAAAGCAAATTAAAATAATCAATTATACAATTATTATAAATTGATAGTATAAATTTGTATAATTGCATTTATATGATTATTTTCGATTTAGAAAATATTTACGTTAGGCACAATGAAGCTTACAAATATTGCTATGAATTTTGGGCAGTCTTTTTTTTTTTCATGTTTCACAAAAAGTGCACAAAATTTTAACATTAATTCTTAACTTTGATGCTATATATTCATATACATATAATTATATATAATATATATATATAAATGTACTAAATTCTATAAAAATGTAAATAATGAAAGTTCCACTTTAGTATCATATACCTGTGTTCTAATAATAAAGTAATAGAATGCATGTAAAATGCCAAAATACATTTTTACACATATATTTTATTGTACATAAATTAAATAGATTATTATATTGTATAATCTATCAATTCTTGTATATGTTGATTATTTGTACTTAAATTTATGTTCTTTTGGGTAAAATCATTAAAAAAAAAAAAAAAAAAGAAAAACATTATATGCTTTGTAAAATTTCATATGTTAAATGAATATGTAAATGTAAATTGAATAAATTTAATGTTTTAAGACAAGACAAGTATTTTGAAAACTATTTATATTTATGAATTAAATTTTTATATTTTTATCTATATATAAATAAAAAATACTTGTTTCATAAAGAAATATATCAACGTCGTCTAGTCGAATTTAATCGTAAGATGAAAAAGTTTATAATATCTGTTATTTGTGGATAACAAATATTATTATATAATATATAAATTATATAATATAATATAATAATATTATAATAAGGAGAGTCTGTAAAATATATAATATAGTATATGCAGAAGAAAATGTAAAATAATTTGTAAACTTGGTAATAATATTATAATAAACAAATACTACAATTATCTTACTCTTGAAACTGTGCATTCGTCTGATTTTCTCTAAACTTAGTTTTTTCAAGGTTTCACTTTTAACACGTGTGATCTGCACACATGATTTTTTTATTTTTATTTCATATAAAATACTAAATATTATTCTAAAAATATACATAAATTAATTACAATATTAGAATTCAATTTTTATCATTATTTATAATAAAATACTTGATTTGCAAACATTTTTAAAAGTGTTTTATTATTTACTTTCTTTGTAATTATTATAAAAATTGTATGAATGCAACTCTCCAGACACACTTTGAAAATATTGCTTGCAAGCGTCATTTGTCGGGACGAAATTTTTTCTGCCCGAAAGATAGGCAACCCGTCATACATACGTGTATAAACAGTTTTGACTGTAAAAAATTTCGTCCCAGATGGCGCTCGCAAGCAAACATTTTCAAAATGTGTTTGGAGGGTTGCATACGAACAGGCTCTAGCGCATTTTTATAATTAAATTAATAATTAATTAAATAATTACAAATTAAAAGTACAAATAATATTCTAATAATATTATCTTTAATAAATTATTCTCGAAACTTGTTTATTTGAAGGTTTCACTTCTAACTTGTGTGATATATACACACATGTTTTTTTTTTCTTCTTTTTTTTCTTCTTTTTTTTCTTACATTTTGAAATGAGACGATAACATCAAGGATCTCTTTATATAGCTTTGTTCGGTTGCCATATGTAAACTATTAGCAAAAAGTTGTTTATCTTATTCAATGTTTCAATATCTGTAATATATAATATGTAATATACGTTGAAAAGTTCGTTCAAATCAGCTCGTCTTTCTAATCTGTTTTGTCTCTATTTTTCTTATGTACGATTAACGTGTACGTTTAGTAATTTTACTTCAGAATTACTTTGAAAGATTAACATTGAAGTTTCGTTATAGAAATCCTTGAATATAATTTACTCACGTTTGATATGTCGGAACATCGTCGAATATTTTCGTCAACGAGATTAAGCGAGAAGGAAAGAACAGCCGAAAAGGAAAATATTTGTGATATCAAAAAGTTCAAAGATTTGGCTGGTACAAATCCTGAAAAAGTTACTTCTTCCAAAAAATTTGATTCAAATTATATCAGTGGTCTTTGTTATTGTAAGACTGATTTGCGTAAGGATGCTACCTTTAAGGATCTTAAATCGGTCACGAAAAAGGAATCGTTTAAAATTCATATTGATCGTGCTTGTAACGATCTTAACAATGAAGCTAGTGTCCGAGAACGGATGATGAAGTATGATGCTTACAGGATTGAAAAATTGAAAAGAAATACGCCACTTTCGGAAAATAAGGTTAGTCAATTTATCAATGTTTTATGTTAGAATAATAAAAAGAACAATGTTAAATAAAATAGCTTATGTTTTAGCAAAAAAGTAGATTTAAAGCGAATAAACAGCAGTCAGAAGAAAACTCAATTCGAAATAATTTGTCAAGTATAAGAAAGAACAAAGAATGTTTACAAAAGCCGCTTGTTTCTCGTGATAAATCGTTAATAAAATCAGTTAAAGTCGTTTCCGGAAACCAATTACAAAAGCAGCAGATTCCTGTAACAAAATCTTTATTAGATCTTTCTCAAATGTAAGTGTCGACAATGTTATGTCATATTATCAATCAGCGTATACGTAAATATAAAAAGACAAAAAAACAAAAAAAACCAATGGAAACCAAAAATAATAAACAATTTCTATTATTTCATTCGAATCAGTTATATTGATTTTTATTTTAGAAAAAAACAATCAACGTTGGTCAACAGTGTAAGAGATCTTGGTTCTACGAAATTAACGAGCAATTCAAAGTAAGTATTCATAAATATGTTGGGTAATATACAGGGTGAATCTTTTGTAACTGGGACGGGTAATAACTTATTTTTAAAGTAACAATAGAAAATAATCATAAAGGAAAAAGTTATATGGCACAACAAATGTCAAATTTCTATGATTTTACTTTTTTTGAAAGTGCATCGATGCACCCGTTAGACGCAGTTGCACTTTTTTTTTTTTTAATGAAACTTTATACTTTTTTTTTACACTATTCGATTCCTTTTTTTATTCTGCGTTAAAAAGTATTAAGTGAAGGTCATCGAAATGTCAATAGTTTACGAGATATTTGAAGTTATATAAGGAGCGTATAACAATATAAATTCAAATCAAATAAAAAATGTAATGAAAAATGTAAAAAAGCGCAATAGAATGTGCGCATCTAATTGTTTAGAATGAAATGGAGAAACATTCGAACATTTATTGTAATAAAATGCATTGCTGATATGAAACTTATCCATATTAAAATAATGGAATAAAAATCCCCGCGAAAAACATTATTCGACACAAATTTCGATAGATTGAAATAATTACAACTTGTTGTCATTAACAATTAAAAATGAGATGTTTCGTAGAAAACACATCTAATAAGTGCTGAATTAGGATAAAATTTTTTTTTTGTCTGAAGATAAAAACAGAATAGTATAATATTTATGTCATTTTGTCGTAAAACGCTACGAATTAATACCAACACCTTCCAACACCATTTTGTATTGAGCCTTTCACGAGGATAAGCGATAATTTTCATTTGAAATATTTTTTTCTATTTTAGGATCAAAGCACTAGCACATTCATAATTTGATGAACTATACACTTTAATGTATGACGTTGGAATAATTCAATTCAAACTCTTAGGGAATATTAAATAAGTAATTTGGTAAATTAGCTATATTTTAGATAAAAAAGATAAACTTTTTAGTTTTTTTTTCTCGTATCAAAATTGCAATGTTTATAAACTGAAAGACCTTATGAATCTCAATGAATTTTAATATATCTATTAAAGCATATAAAAACTTATGTTAAAAATTATAGAAAAATAATAACTTAATCATTGTTAGCATACGAATAGTGATAGGTGACTTAATCACATATTGAAAATATTTCTATATGCATGCAAATTTTTGTTATCTATTTGCATGTTGACATATTTGACAAGTAACAATTTCATGTGCATTTTATTGCGTATTATTATTTGTTCTGCAATAAATCGAGAAATCTAATAACAAGTTATAAAAGTATAATATTATCATTACAAAATTATTATTTCAGGACACAATCGTCTAACTTATGCTCCAGATCATGTTCCACCCAACGAACAGTTTTCGTAACTAGAAATAGAACAAAATCAACTAGTGCTATAAACGAAGGTTCTATTGATCAAGAAAATCAACAAAATGGATCAAATAAATGCAAGATATTGGGTGGTAGTAAAGAATCATTGCTTTCCGATGTTTTCAGTGCTATTTTTTCCGAATCGTCGAAAAAACAAGTTTCTACTAAGAGCTTGCACAAGTCGAAATCTCGAACTATTTCGATTAAGCAGGATAATTATTTGCATGATAAGAAAGAACAACGATTGGTAAATACAATTTCTTTTAAAGTATAGAATTATGGGGAAGGATGGTGGGGGGAATGCCGTTATTACTCTAATATGTTTTATAGTATTTTGATGATTTTACAAGCAGAGAGAGAGAGAGAGAGGGAGAGAGAGAGAGAGAACAAAATTAAAGTTATTTAAAATAAGCAATAATACTAACAAGTTTTTACTTCCTTTATTAACATTTGTTTTCATTTGAAACAATAAATGCATTTTACCGCTATTGCCTTGAAGTATCTCAGTAAATAAAAAAATATCAAGAATTTAGACTTACAATATTTATAATCTTTATTGAGAATAGCTACACGTTACCATTGTTAAATAGTTTTTATCAGTATAACATTCTTTGATTATTTTTTGACACGTAAAGACTTTTTTGTTCTTTTTTAATAACATCTGAATTTTACAATGTGTTCACTTGCGGACATTCGGTAAATTGGTTTAACAATTTGATAATCATAATACGAGGACTCTTATTAAATAAGTATCGACAAATAATCTTCCAGCAATAAGTGAAGTTATGCTTAAGTTTTATGTGGTTATTAGATGATAAATTATTATAGTCAGTTAATCTTTTCTTTGTAGTTAGTCTAGTGAGTATAAGTTTTTTGTTATCAAATGTGGATTTTGGTCAAGTCTGATTATGTAGTTTTTATGTTAGTTTCTTAATTTTATCACAAACTGAATGCATGTTTCAGTCTTTGAGTAATTTATCGTTTCGAATATACCATGGAGCTTTAATAACAATTTTATGAATTATCTATTGCATAGCTTCAATTTTATCAATCTAGTTTTCGATTGCTATATCCCAAGACTGGATTCTATTTGTCTAAAAAGGTTTTATCATTGTTTTATGCATTAATACTTTATTTTCAATGGTTAACTTAGAATGTCTGTCTATCCGTAGTGGCAACTATTTAAGTTTCAACCGATACAAAAGAGTTACATGTTTGCACCTGTTACTGTCCCTCAAAGTAGTCACCAGCGTTGTGTAGAACCCGTTAGCAGAGCCTGTTCTGTTGATGGTGCGAATGGAAAGTAACCCATTTTCGACTTTTAAATAATTCTTTTCCATACTTTAAGTTTAAAGTTATTGGACTCACAGGCGTTCCCTCCATGTTCTCTCTAATTTGAGTCATTAGCATTTTCTCCAATGAGTTATTATTTGGATTCAAGGTTAAAGGCAACTTGAAACTCGATAAGCAAAGTACAGATTTTTCTCCATATCTGCTCTATCATTCTGATTATCTTCCTAGTTTGTTGATGGTTGAAAAACAGAAAGAAGATAACTCGCCGAAATTATCATCTGAATTTATTGACAAATATTTGAATAACGAGTCAAGGAATTTAATAGTTACTTTTCTCATACATCTTGCCGTAAGTATGAATCATTTAACTTTATCAATTCGAAAGTTGTGTGTGTGTTTTATAATTTCATTGTTTCTTTTACAGACACATTGCCGTTATCCGTCGCCTATTCTTTATCAGACAGTTAAACTTTTCGATGCTATTCTCGATACTATTTCGATAGAAATAACAGACATGCAATTAGTAGCAGTAACGGCGTTATGGATTGTTCTCAAGAAAGATGAAAATCTACATAAAATTCCATCGGTCGTAATGCAATCCTATATTTATTGAACAGAAAATATTGTTTTGAATTAAATGACTTTTTAATGCTTTCGCAATCGGTGGTTATAAGACTTGTATATTATTAGCTGATCCTCATGTACCATTTTCAAAAGTTTATAACTGACAAGGAGATCTTACATAAATACATTAAGAGTTAGAGCACTAATGAATTTTAATGACCTTTGGTATATCAGTAGTATACCTTTAAGGTATTATCATGATCAAATATTTTTATCCATTGGCCAGCCAATTTTAAGAAAAAAGCTTTTAAAGTTTCGCTTTTTTTTATATCTGTGTTATATTTTTATAAATGTAATCATTTGTCAATTGCCGATTCTCGTAATTCACTCGGTGATATTAGTGTTCGATTCTTTACGAAGGAGGTTTTTTATTTTATAAGTTTCTTCAAACTTTTTCTATAACGGAACGAGAATTCTGAAATTTTTACGAAATACATTTGCTATTTTCAAGAATAATATATTAATAAATAAATAAGGCCAATAGATATAAAAATTAAGAATATAAAAAAAAATATGTTTATTTCTAAATATTAACAATGTAATAAAGAACTAATTTTAATTAGTTAACCAATAATATATTTGTGATTAAACTCATGCTCGTCAACTCAATTAGTTTGTAAAACGCTACTTTTTTTTCCTATTATGCTTAGAATTATTAGTTGTTTAAACATTTACATACAATTACTTAGAAATTATCAAATGAATTTTAAAATTTGAATGATTCCTTTATTAGTATTTAGCTTAAGATTTGTAAATGATGTAAGAGTATTCTACCGATTGCGAAAGAATTTATATTGAGGTATTTTCTTTTTTCTTAATATGGAATATTTGTTATTTCAGGCTAAATCAATTCTTGCTTTGATACAAGATCAACAGTCTTATAACATAGATTTATTAGCCGAATGGGAGAGAACTATATTACGTTCCCTTAAATTTAATATATCATTTTCCGATCCTTATTCAATTTTCATTTTTTACATAATAAAGTGTAAACATAGTCAAAGTAAGATTTCCGCCAATGTTATTTCCAAAATTTATTACTGCGGAGGATATGTTGTAAGTGATCGAATTAAAAGTAACATATTAGGTTGGGGAAAAAGTAATCCATTATTTTTTCGTTAGATGACTTTAGTTATCGATATCTCGCAAAATATCAATCAAACAATTTCAAATTTATGCTTGTAGAAAGGTGACATTTAGAGATAAAACAAATTCCTTTACCGTTTTTTGTTTGGTCCATTTAGTTGTGACTTACAGGGTGTTAAAAATGGAAGTCAACAAAGAGAAAATTCGGTACATTTCACACTTTCTTTTTTATAAAAACGAAAATTCAAGTCAGGCGGCTGAAATTGTGAATGGTGTTTATACTCTCAATACTGTAACAGATAATTACGTGCTATTTTGATTTCATCGATTCCGTTCAGGTATTTTTGATGTTAAAGATGCATCTCGCACAGGCAGGCCCGTCGTCGAAAATGTCGATAAAATCACAGAAATAATCGAAGTTGACCGGCATATTAGTAATCGTAGCATCGCCCAAGAGCTAAAGATCGACCATAAAACAGTTTTAAACCATTTGCGCAAAGCTGGATTCAAAAAGAAGCTCGGTGTTTGGGTGCCACATCGAATAACACCAAAAAACATGATGCATCGAATTTCCATCTGCGAAGCCTTTGCCAAACGGAATGAAATTGATCCATTTTTTAAACGAATGGTGACTGGGGATGAGAAAAGGATCACATACGACAATATTGTGGGAAAACGATCGTGGTTAAAGCGCCATGACGTAGCTCAAACGGTGGCTAAATCAGGACTAACGGCCAGGAAGGTTCTACTGTGCACTTGTTGGGACGGGAAAGGAATCATTTGTTATGAGTTGCTTAAATATGGCCAAACACTAAATTCAGATCTTTATTTTCATCAACTGGACCGTTTAAAGCAAGTGATTGACCAGAAACGGCCAGAATTTGCCAACAGGAGAGGTATTGTGTTCTATCAGAACAACGCCAGGTAACACATGTCTATAGTGACTCCCCAGAAGGTCCAGGAGGTTGGTTGGAAAGTTTTGATGCATCCATCATATAGATCAGACCTTACACCAAGCGATTACCATCTTTTTGTTGCACTGCAAAACACTTTCTTATTGATAAGAAATTAACATTAAAAGAAGATTGTAAAAATCGATCACTAGAGTTTGTCGCAAATAAGGACCAAGACTTTAATGAGACAGGCATTGTGAAGCTACCTTTAAAACGGCAACAAATTAATGAACAAAACGGTGTATATTTGACCAAAATCAGGCAACCAGAATTATGTTAAAAAAAGACTTGAAGTTAACGTAAAAATGATGGATAACCTTTTCCCCAACGTAATATAATCAAAGTTATTTTATAATTAAAAGCATTAAAAGATCTTAGTAGATAATATTTTTTTTAGATGGATTTGACGTTATTGGGTGTGAATTTTTGTTACGCAACGTCGAATCATATAGCACTTGCTACGGCCGAGTTAGTAACGTGCATTGTTCTGAGTACCGATGATGAATTATCATGTCCCCAATGGTACATTTGGCGATGTATTTTAACAGATGATGTACATATGCCAATAAGGTATTGTTATCTTTAAGTAAACATTTTTCGATAAATTTCTCTCTTTTTAATCGTAAGACTTTTGTTTATTTATAAAAAAAAGTATCAACGACAAGGAGATTAATTTACTAAGAAGAACCATGATCTCTCGCGTATTGGAGTCAGAGATAAAACATTCAAAGGAAGAAATAGTACGAAAAAGATATAGTCACAGTAGATATGGTAACATTTCTAATTATTTTCTAGAGAAGATCAAGAAAATTCCGCCAGAAGAATATACTATACTATAATATAATGTTTATCGTTTGTTTTTATCTTTCAACTATTGAAAAGTTTTTAAAAAAAGAATTGAAAAATACGAAATAAACGTTTAGAGTCTTTTTGTAAAATAATTAGAGAAAAAAAGATATATATATATATATTAATTACAACACGCTTTATTTATATTATCAATAAATACTACATTTATTTAAAAAAAAGCACTAAATGGTTCAATTTTTATACCTTAATAGCTTTGCTATGTTCAATTGTATTTTATTCTGTTCTAGTAGATTTATTTCTCTGTAGTCCGTGGGCACCTTCTTGTCGCCTTTCTTAAAAAGAAGAATCGTTGTGCTTGCCTGCCACTCGTCGGGAATTTTTTGTTGTTTTACAAACATAATGACGAGGTCAATTATAACTAGAAAGCAATGATGTTTACATTATAATTTATATACGAATTTTCGTGTAAATAAATCGAAATAAGAACTGTATTAATACTTATTGTTCGTATGTTTCTGCTGATTTTTCATTTCCTAATGAAAAAGAATAATACAAGAATTATTCCATACCTGTCTTTTCGCAAACAGTTGAATTGCGCGCTTCCTTAAAAATTACAATGAATATTCTCATGGATTATTAAAAGTGTGCAAAGATCGAAAAAAATTTGATTATGAGATAAGCGGCTTCCGAACTCTCCCCTTATAAGACATTTGATACATCATTCAAAACAACAAAGATATTACAGGTAGCAACGTTAGGTTACTTACCTTGTGTAGAATATATTGCAATTTTGTTATTTCCAATTTTTTTTTTCCCCATTTACAAATTAACATAGAACTAATTACATGAAATAATTCATATCGTCAATTTTATACCTATTGGTCTACATGATATCTTTCATAAGTTTGACTAATTGTAAGTAACTTTTATTTTCTGCCATCAGTTTATTGAAACGCAAAAAAGAAAAAGGAAGAAAAAAATTCAACGAAGTAGAAGTTGAATCGAAAAGTTTTTCGTTTAAAAATTAATCACATGAAATCGAACATAATAACACTGACATCTAAAAGTTCCGTACAGTTTCATTTCAATTTCTCCCTTTATCAATATTCTTCTAATACAACCTATTCAAACTTTTTACTTCGCAAACAAATTATTTGGTTCAAATGGAACAAGAGAAAGATAATGAGTGTAAACGATTAAGTTAGGAGAGCATGTCTATAATTCGAAAATTAGCTTTCATGGAAAGCTTTCTTCCTATATCCCTCTTTCTCCATTTTTCTTTCTAACTCAGTCTCTATATTTATCTCCTCTTCTAATTCTCCCCCTTCGATTATTTTACTGCGATCAATGACTATTTGTATAAGGTTTCTATCACAGTTTGTCATCAGTCTTTAACAATCTACCTTCAAAAGAACAATACAGACTTTATCATGAATGTAAGATACCAAAATTTAAAATTTTGTTTATCCTAAAGATTAAGTATTGAAATAAAAAATTTTGTTTCTAAAAATAAATGTAGGTTTTAATAGATGTAGATTTTTTTTTTTGGTTACATTTGTTTAAGAAAAAAATCTTGGTAATCAAGAAAATAACTTATGTAAACATTTATTTTGATTATTTTATTTATAAATACTTATAGATAAATATATTTCTACCTATTAGGCGTAGCAATTGATTTTCAGCAATAATATTAAATTCATTGCGTTAAAATTATCATCCGTTTTTCTTTGAAAATTTTAGCAGTTACCTAAGCCCTTTTGGTTACCAGGCCCAAGTCTTCGAAAATAATGAAGATTATATTTCGAGGAATAATGGATATATATAATTAGAACTATACAATAAATATTTATTATTTTTACATAATATGTTTTATTTATTTATTGAGTAATTGCTTAACCTAATATATTTGTTAATATTTTACTAAATTAAAAAAAAAAAAAATAAGAATTTATTTGCTACTTATTTTTTTTTATTCCTATATCTAAAGATCGCTTAAGATTATTTTTAAAATTATTTTTCTCTTTTCATTTGTTGTAATTTTATTTTGTATAAATGTAAACAAATGAAAAATTATTTTTTTTTTTGAAAATATTCTTTGAATTATATAGATTTTAATCATTATTATAATATTATTATTTTTTTTTTAAGAAGAAGCAATAATACGTACATGATAATATAATATTTACAATAATTAATAATATTATTATATTTTCCTTAAATTACAGAAAGATATCAAGCATACGGAAGACTTATTCATTCTCTGTGAACGAATTTTTTCAATCGGTGGCGTATGGTCGTCAAAAAATAACTCATCATATATCAAATTTACAATTTATTGTGCGTATTATGTATCATTTCTTACATTGTCTTATGTCGACCTCTTCGAAATCATTGGCAATCTCCAATTGACAGTAATGAATATGGTAGAAACAGTAGTTTACACGATCACATTCATGATGATACTCGTGATACGTTTTAGCAGCCTACTAAGAGAAGTTATTGAGATAACGAAACAAAATATTAGGGAGTATCGTTTTGAAAATAATGATGAGAAAATAATTTACAATACTTATCATTATGTGTCGAAAATATTCTTTAAAGTTTCGAATATTTGTATGATTATCACCGTGACGTTATCATACATCAGGCCTTTGATGAATTTTGCTATCAGTTCAGGTAAATATCGATTCATATTAAGTTAATATTTTTATATTAACAGGTTGACTGCCATGGGGGTAACCAGTGACTGGCAGATACATCGCTAATTTCATTCTAAAATCAGAAATTGCAATATTTTTCTGCGTTACTTGTTTGAATAACTCTACTGAATTTACAATATAAATATTTAATAAAAGCTCTATTGCCAGTTTCTTGTAGCATTTTATAGTTTTACGCAGTGGTAAGCAATAAGCAATCTTTGAATCAGATAAGTTGACTGAAGATTTTCCTAAATTACATTCAACTATAGACAGGCACTGGGAGAGCTTTTCAAAGCGACTAGAAAGAGATTTTGATGGGCTCCAGAAACAGATGTTGCAATTCATAAGAAGCCAAAAGAGAGAAACGAGCGAGTTAATACCTGTTAGTCAAATTAGTAAGGAGACGTGGATCAGTTACTTAAAAGATCTATATAAAGGTGCATCTCTCTCCATGCTACAACCTGCACCAAGTGTTGTAATAGACAACCAAATCTCAATAAATGAGTCGGACATTAGAAAAACACTAAATAAATTCAAGAATAGGAAAAGTCCGGGTCAGGATGATATTACTAACGAACTTCTCAAGTATGGCGGCGAAAGATTACTTCAGGAGTTAACGGTCTTAACAGAAAAAATTTTTAAACAACAAAAAATTCCCGACAAGTGGCGGATAAGCACAACGATTCTTCTTTTTAAGAAAGGCTACAAGAACGTGCCCACGAACTATGGAGGAATAAATCTACTGTCTTCCACCCTGAAATTAGTGACCAAAGTCATAACGAACCTGATAAATGAGCAAATCACATTAGCTGATGAGCAACAAGGTTTCCGAACTGGACGATCATGCATAGATGCAGCGTTTGTGATCAGATAAATAACAGAAAAGTCCATAGAATACAATAAACCAGCATTTTTCTGTTTTATAGATCTAAAAAAGGCGTTCGACCGAATACGGTTAAAGGATATAGTGCACCTTCTGTATGACAGACAATAATACCGAGCAACATCATCAAAACTATCGAAGACATCTAGCGGAATAATCGAATACAGGCAAAGATAAACGACGATTTCACAGAATTCATAATGGTTGAAAGAGGTATTCGACAGGGTGACTCATTGAGCCCCCTACTTTTTAACATTATAATGGATGAAATCATAAAGAAGGTGCGCGAACAAAGAGGATATCAAATGGGGAACCGCGAGATAAAAATCTCGTGTTACGCCGATGATGCGGTCCTGATAGCGGAAAATGAGGATGACCTGCAAAGGCTCCTGTATACGTTCAACATAACTGCCAAGACACTCGGGATGTCTATATCAACATCCAAGACAAAGTGCATGACTACATCTAAAACACCCTTAAGATGTAAATTGGTTGTTGATGACAAGATAATACATCAAGTGATAAAGTTCAATTACCTAGATATAAAAATTTCAAGCTTTGGTGACATAGAGTCAGAAGTAAGAAGACAAGCCATCAATGCAGCAAGAACAGCTTCATAATTAAATGACACTATATTCCGAAACAAACATCTAAAAACAGATACAAAACCGCTATAAGGCCTATACTGACATACGCGGCAAAAACAAGACCCGAAACATCAAAAACACGCCAAATCATGGAAATAGCCGAAATAAAGATAGTTCGCGGAATAGCTGAGAAATCACTATGGGACAGAGAAAAAAGGGAAAAAACCTCAGACAAGCATGCCAGATCGAGAATATCAATGACTGGGTACTAAGCAGAAAAGTTGAGTGGAATGACGACCACATTACACGCATGACAGATGATCGAATAGTCAAAATATCGAAAGCGCTGGAGAGATAATCTTACTGTATGAAACGAGTCGCGATGAGGAACAGGCACTGTGCCTATTTGGAAGAAAGAAGAAGAAAAAGAAGAAGAAGATATTCAACTATCACTTTTGGCTTTTCTTTTGAACAGTTCCTTTTTTGTATAATTGTCATTTCTGCTGAATGTTTTGTAGATAGCATCAAAACATCTCTTTTCTTTCCATGTTAAAATTGTCATTCAATTTTTATTTTCTCGCGCGATAACATCTTCACGTTTTAATTTTTGAGCCTTTACTTTTTTTGAAATGCTTCGCCGACAATTGTAAGTATTGACTACAGCGCCGCGAGGGTCATCAGTGACCCCCAGCACGAAAAATGCTTCAAACATGATTTCATAATTCACTTTATTTGCTGCAAAGGAAGAAAAAATAAAATTCAGACTTTTAAATGCCTTTGTTGAATTTAAAGATTTATATATATATATATATATAATTTACATAAGAAAAAAAAGTTTAATTGAAATAAAGCAGGGTACGATTGTCTTTGTAGAAAAAAGAAAATAAATATTTTCTACTTTGAAATAATGTAAAAGTATTTTGATTGTTTTGTCTGTTACAGTTAAGGACAACAGTACAAATATTTACATTTTACCTGTTCGAATATATACTTTCTTTGAATTATCAAATACTCGTGATTACATTCTCTTTTATCTTTATCTCCTTCCAATAATCTACATGTCAATGTGTCACATGACAGCAATATGTGTGCTCGTCAATTTGGTTCTTTACATCTGTGCTGACTTGTCCATTTTGGCATACCGCATACGGAATATTGCTATAATATCAGAGAAGGATGTTCATCACAGAATTCGCTTCCTTATTAAAATGCATTATAAGACTATTTGGTGAGTTTTAAGTACTATATACTATCAAAAGAAAAAAAGAACAGAGAATTAGCCCAGGTAAAACATACAAAATGTTTACCAATTTTTATTAAGGATGATGATTTGTAGATACAATCTACAATTCATTCTGATCCAAAAATGTTGTCATACATTTATTACATATCCTCGAATATCTTCTTCTTAACAAATTAAAACATTGCAGTCCATGCAGTAGTTTTCTTGAAAAAAAAAAGAATCCGAAAAATCACCTTTTTTTCAAGCAGTCACTCTAGTTGTGCCCCTTAAGTATTTAGCCAAAATATAATCATTGTCAGCACGAAATATGTATAAATAAGGCAAATAACATATGCATTAATATACGGCATTTGTTTTCGAACGTAAATATAAAGAGCATATGCATTATGCAAAAAAAAATGTATAAAAAGAAAAATATGCATTTTGAGCATTTTTTTCAGATCATGAATAGTACGCATGCCTTGGTTTTATTGCTTCATCCGGTTTTTCTTTTTTTTTTTTAAATATGCATTTGAATAAACATCCAGAGTTTATTTATCAGCTTTAACAAAAAAATAAAAATAATTAATATGAACAAATATTTTCGCTCTATAATAATAATAAAATACCCTATTTAAAGCAGTAACTTATGAAAATTTATTTCTTTCATGACAGGATTGCTAAGTCATTAGATGATGCCCTCAATATCGTTCTTTTAGACGAATTACTAGGAAACAGTATAGTATTGGCAATCTCTATGTATTATGTTCTAATAGTGCGTATAATTTTTATTATATTACAATTTTTTAAATAATGCACATTTACGCATAAATACAAAATAATATTTAATAAGTTATATTTTTATTTTGTAGAGTTATGATACATCGGAAATAGCAACTTCCTGTACCTTCATCTTCTTTTCCTTAACAGCTCTTACAATGCTTTACGGATTCTGTGTTATTGGAGATCAATTAACAGAAAAGGTTTTTAAAGACTTTAACAAAATAAAACTAGTAAATCAATTCTTATTTGTAAGAAAAATACTTAATAATATATTATTTTCATTCGTTTGGAAAATTAAATGTATTGATAATTATTTTTAAATCATTCTTGAAAAAATTTAAAATTTTTCATTAGAATATTAATTAAAAATATCTATGAACATTTTTTTAAATATTTAAAATTATTTTTTATATACAAAAGATGACAAAAAAAAAAAAAAAAGAAAGAAAAGAAAATATTTTTATTATATAAACATAATCTCAACGTTGTTTTCAATTTTATTAAAAAATAATGAATAAAAAATTAAAATTACTAATTTCCTNTGATAATTATTTTTAAATCATTCTTGAAAAAATTTAAAATTTTTCATTAGAATATTAATTAAAAATATCTATGAACATTTTTTTAAATATTTAAACGAATAGATAATTAAAAAAATAAATTAAAAAAAAAAAAAAAAAAAAAAAAAAGAAAGAAAAGAAAATATTTTTATTATATAAACATAATCTCAACGTTGTTTTCAATTTTATTAAAAAATAATGAATAAAAAATTAAAATTACTAATTTCCTGAAGATTTACAATTGTTTTAATAATTTTTTAATTAAAAAAAGTATATGAGACAAAATTTGTTGCTACTTATATTACCGAAATTGTTTATTCTTTTGTATATTTTTAGTATATGAATATTATTGAAAAATCTTTTTATTAACTATTTCTTTAAAATTAAAACTTAAAATTAAACTTAAAATTAATTCTTTTTTTATTTCAGAGTCAGAACGTCCTAGATGCATACTACGAATGCAATTGGCAAGATATGTCATGCAGTACAAAAAAATCACTTCTCATATGTATGATAAGAGCACAAAAATATTTGTATTTAACTGGAGGAAAATTTTATATATTTTCTTTGATTGGTTTTACTGATGTAAGTTTAATTTTACTAATAACAAACTAAAAATTTAATAAAAAGCCTTATAATCTATAACTTGAATTTTCTGTACAGGTTCTAAAGTCGTCCGTGGCGTACTTATCTATGCTACGTACAATTATGTAAAAAGATTGAACAGACCATCACATTTATTTGATTACTGTATACTATTGATTTGACACATTTTATTGAATACTCTTTACTTGATAAATAGTAGTTTACTCACAAATATTAAACGTAAAATATTATTGAGTAATTTTGGGATTGAAAACGCTTATAATATTATTTTGTACATTATCTCCTTTCCAAATACAAAAAGAACTAAGGTAAGAAATGTGAACGCACATTCATGAATTCGGAGAAATATAAATTATTCTATAATTATAATATATAAATTTTTTTTTAATTATATATTGTTCTCAGAATGTGGAATAAAGTATATAGTTGCATTTTCCGGTAAATTCCGCAAGAATTCAGTTTTCGTATGAGTTAGTTGAATGTTCAATAAATCAATTTTTATGTTCGTTAAACACTGGCTTAGTGATAAGGATTCTAAAGTTTTAAAATTGTTATTAGACAAATTGAGATAACGAAGATTTTTAAAATCATCACTCCACCTTATAGGTAATTTATCTAAAGTATTACTATTTAAATCTAGTACCTCTAAATATTTCAAATTAGAAAATGCATTTTCATCGATAATCCTAATTTCATTATTATTTAAATACAATTTTTTTAAAATCGGTGCATTGACAAAATTAGGTTTTATTTCTTGCAATTTATTATGAGCCACAGATAAAATGGTTAAGTTTGCCAAGTGATAAACCATAGAAATTGAAGATAATCCGTTGTTATCCAGATATACGTTTTGTAATGAAGCCAACTCATAGTTCAGTACTGTAAACACACCTGTTAGAGCGTTATTAGAAAGATCAACAGTAACTAAATTTGGCATTTTAAAAAAGATGTCCTCATCAATTGTAGATAAACTATTATGGGATATCGAAAAATATTTCAATTTCGGCATTTGATCTATACAAGCGGTGTTATCATAACAATAATTTCTGATTTTTTCAAAGGAATTATAGTTTAACCGTAATTCAACTAAATTGATAAAAATACGTAAGTCAACATTATAAAGATTATTATGAATCAGATTAAGATTCGTTAAATTGTGGCTAAATAAATGCGAATAATCGAAATTATTCAAAAAATTATAAGATAAATCCAAATATTTTAATTTAGGAAATAAATATTTTTTAATAAGATGATTAACGATATTGTGATAATTTTGTGGCATATTTATAGAATTTATTTTGTTACCACTTAAATCTAAGTAACGAAGTTCCGGATACTCTCCAAAAATTATCAAATTATTCCAATATCCAATTTCGGATTGATTTGCGAGTATCAATACTTTCAAATTATTATGACCATTAAATGAAAATAAATTCTGAAGTCTATTACCAGCTAAATTTAAAGATTCCAAAGCCGGTAAACTATCGAATGCACCAGATGCTATTGATTTTATTGTATTTCCACTAAAGTTCAAAGATGTTATAAACTGGGTACTAATGAAGTCTTTTCCTAATGTTTCTATAAGCGTATCGGAAAAATTTAGCGATATATCAAATCTTTTACAATCTTTATGCAAAATATATTCGTTTGTTTTTGGACCCGTTGTGTTTAGCATGTCTGCTACTCCCTCATAATAATTTTGAGGCGTTGATGACCCAACTGCGAATAATGCCAGAAGGTATAAAGAATAAAATATAGCAGATACTGCTCGCAGTCCCATGGTATTTGTTTCCTAGAACATCAAACATAAATTTCTTATCAATGAACTTAATTGCAAGTTAGTACAATTATCCCAAGATAAATTAAATACATATATATTTTGAATAATTAGATTCTTAACACATTCGCGGCCGGCATATTTTTTCCGTTTCTTATACTAAGTACCGGCAAAATAATGAAATTTTGAAAAAAAAAAACAATCATTTTTACATATATTCTATATATAAATATAAGTTTAAATTATTTAAATTTATATTTGAGTAATAAAATATAATATAATATAATAAAAAAAATATAATTTTTTGAATATTATATTTAAACATTTTATTTAATATTATATATATTTAAATA